ACAGAGAAATGGGGAAGCAAGGATCCGAGGCCAACGAAGCAAAACGGGGACGCAAACTGGTCCCTCCAAGCCAACGAGGAAATGCTTCCCCCGGACTCCAATGCACAAACTAAACGCCCAGCAGCCATTCAGAGACCCTGCCCAGGGAAAAAGTACAATGCATCAAGATTCATCGACAATTGCCCCACAATCCCACAGCAGCCCTCCAAACCGCAACCGGATCAACTCGTGCAAAGACCCCCACCCCCAGAAGCCAGGGCACCCCGCGACCCCCCAAAGTGCAAAGGACCCCAGACCGCATGTCCCGGGGGAAGCTGTACCCCGCCCCAAGGAAGAACAGCAGAAAGCTGTGACAGGAAGCTCCCTGCCGCCAGGGAGCGATAACGCGGGAGAACCAGGCCAACGGTCCCCCAGCCCAGCCTGAAGAAGCTTCTTAGATAAGAGGCGAAAGGTCGAGTATCTTCAACCAAGTCCAGTTGCCCTTGATTCAACCCTCCTTGGATAATATTTATTGAGATTTTTGCTTGTTTGTTTTATTGAGGTCATGTTCCATCCCGATTTGTCTTTGTAGACATTGTTCGATGCCAATTTTGTAGACATTGCCCAACCCTACAGAGTTGTTGATTTTGCTGCACAGCTTCAGTAATACTTATTTAATTTTGAAAAACATATTTGCAAAGAAGGAATCAAAACCCATAGTTTGTATGCAATATCTATAAAATATATTCTAATGGTCTCCAGATGGAGAGTGGGGGTTCTACTGATCTCAGTAATTTTATTTATTTATTTAATTAAAGGGACAGTGCACATTAATGAACATCATTGATGTAAATATGCCAGATTTAGCCAGAAGGCTATTTTTCATCTGTAGTCCCTGGTCAATAAAAGTGTGTGTGTGTGTGTTTGTGTGAGTGTGTGGCTTGTCCCAACTAACTTGCAGTTACTGTTGCTTGTTAGCAGCCCTTCTACCAGTGGAGCTGTCAAGCTGTGTTAAGTAGTTGTGTCACAGGCCAAGTAGGACAGAGGAAACACACATATACACAACGTACCTATGCAACAACTCCACCACAAATTCAAAAGTGCTAGTACACACAGCCATGCATGCAGCATTCACACCAACATAAAACTGTTTTGCGAGCAGTGTGATCCCTGAAGCCTTTTCCCATAGTCTCCTGAAATGAGAACTTACTGTTATATAAGGTCAGAGAGAGGGGACTTCTTACAGCAGTGCACTAACAAGTGCAGGCTGAGTGGATGTGTTTGCCGAGTACACTGAGTACAAATGAAAAAGAAAGGCCTTGAACTGGAAAACACATCTACTTTTACAGTTTTCTGTAATCTCAACTGATTTGGCACATTTACTGAAACAAACTTACAACTGTCAAAACTCTAAGTACAACCCTCACACCATGTGGTACATTCAGCACACCACTCTATGCAACCTGCAAAAAGTGATTACTCAATCAAAAGAATTAACTCATGTTTCAAATGTAAATAAATCCATCTTGGAATAAATCATTTTAATCAAAATTTCCTCCTTTATCATTGCTTAAACCAAGACAGTCAAAATGCAGACTTCTCGTCAAATGACAGTGTACTGTGTCATTTAACCCCAAAGTTATCTTGATAAACTCAAATCCTGCTTTGTGGGATAACTTCGGGCATGGGCGTAAATTTAATCTCACAGTACGGGGGACAATAAACATAAAATTCCTCAAGAGCAATTTTTGAAGGGGACACAAATAATACAGCCAAAATTGTACTTGGATAGGATACGTGTACACAGAGAGAAGTCTTACTATTATTTTTATGTGTATATATATATATATATATATATTAGATATTTAAGGGCAGCAGGCCAACTGATCTGCCTCTACAACGGTTTATCTACAGTATCAACCTAATATCGGTTCACACACAGGATTATCGCTGTAGTAAGAGATGCACAGATTACATTATTCCTGGCTGATTCCAGTTACTGATTTTTTTTAAAGGTCTGACCTGCTGATTTAAATTTTCAGCCGGTCACATTGCTGCGACGTGTTTCTCATGTGTGCACAGACAGTAACCTCATGTCACAGCACACACACAGGCTAAAACATGTCTTAGGTGTGCGGAAGTTATTCACGAGTGAAGAAGACGCAACGTTCACTACATCTGCAGAGAAACACAGAAAGAGACACGTTCTTGTATCACGTTAGAAGACAGCGATGGATATTGTAAAGCATGGACCTGGGGCCTGTACCATGAAGCAGGATTTGAGCTTATCCAGGTAACTTCGGGGTTAAACCTGGGTTTTCAGTACCGCAACGGTGGTTCACTTCTTACCGGGGTAGATCGCCATGGTAACTTATGCTTAACGGCTAACCTGCTCCGGAGCAGGTTATATTCCAGATAAGAGATCAACTCTATGAAAGCACCGCCTGACCAATCAGCTCTCTTGGAAAATGACATCACCATCTGGAAGAGATCCCACAGACTGTTTTATAGGTTCCCTTTATGTTTGCCGTGGTGATACGGAGAAACTTTTGTATAGCGACATTATCCTACAGAGAACGATTGAAAGCCTTTTAAGCTAATTAAAAGGTTTTCACAGTAAACCTACTTACTGCTTTGAAATGTGTTTTAAAATTTTTATTTGCTCCCAAGTCCGTTTCACACAGCTCGTTGCAGCTGTTACAATAAATGGGTTTAATTTATCTTATGTGAGGCTGAATATTATGAGTAGTTTGGTAGGGATATTGAAATCAATTTTAATATAAACGGAGGCTAGTGTTGCGTCGTTCAAAGGACATTTCGTTCATTTGCCCTAATCTTGTATATGACTCAGGAGGAGCGAGTAGTATGAGGGAATAATTTGTTCATTTTCATGCATGCGTGAATAGTCTTGGACTCTTACGTTCACTCGTCACACAGTAGCTGCATGGGCTCTGTCAGCGCAGAAAACAGAATTGATTAGTTCATGACTGTCAACTGTGGGTTTCTGGGTTTGAGTCGTTCATTTGTCACTGGACAGCATAAACTATTCGTTCACCGCTCACATGGGTCCTCCTCAGAGTCTTTTGTTCACTCGGCAGGCTGAGTTACTGCCAGCGCCGCTGTCACTGGACTGACATTATATATTTATTTTGTTAATTATGTGACATTTAATAAAGCATAACATTATTACAGCGCAGTGATGTTGTGCTATAGTTTTAACTCACCAGTACTGTAACTTTAGTCCTGCTAGTGTTTACAGCTAACAGCTGATGAGAGTTGTTCTGGGTCCGCTCCACCTCAGTGCAGTGCCAAGGTTCTACTGGAAGCCAAATTACCTTTGAGGTAGTCTCCTCTCCAAAACAAAGGGAGCTGGTCATTAAAACATTAAAACACAGCCACATAGCAATGTTTACATTAGCCCTTTTACTTTTTATTTATCAAGAGAGCGGTGCTGTTGTTTCACAGCTCTTGACTGGTGAACAACCTGCAGTGTTTGAGAGCGATGTGCTCATGTTTGTTTCTCTCTGTCAGCAGAATCCGGACCTGATGTGGCCCATTCTGCTCCCAGAACTGCCAAACTGCTGCATTTATATAATGTCTTTATTTCTTTGTTCCTCTCTCTGTGCTGGAGTTCTTTTAAGAACTTGGAGGCTTTATCCAGATTATTATTAAATTGGTTGAATTTGAATAAGAGTGTGTTTATTCATATAGTGTGTCAAGCTTATTACTTCAATATATTCCCCGCAAATCTGATGTCAATATATAGATTTTACTCATGGATAGGGATGTTAGGCTACTGTATGAATGAGCACTTTAGAGATATAATGATAGTAATTTTAATTATATATACATATATATGGCTGGTCTGATTGTATACTCAGGAAAGATTGTGAAAATGGACAGATTTGGTATCGGAGTACTGGTGATTGAATATTCACAACATATTTCTGTGGTTTTTACATGGTTTGAATTTGGTTGTGACTCCATGGGGCTTTATACAACGATGATAGAGAATGATCAAGAGGTGAATTTGTGCATTATATTTTGTCAATTAAAGTTAGCCAGGTAGCCTTCCGTGTTTGAGAACTGCACTGTTTTTACATCGCCCACTAGAGGGCTGCAGCGCCGCAATAACCAACCTAGTTCAAATGAACAAAATGACTCAAAAAAAGTTTAGTTCATTTTAATGAACGAGATTTGAAGATTCGAGTCTGTCAAAAGAGTCACTTTTCCCATCACCAATGTAGGCTATTTATTTTAGGTTAGTAGCTATCTTATAGGCAATCACAGAGACTGGTCATGTACCGCCACTGTAGGTGAGTTTTCAGTAGCCTGAATTTAGAGAATGGATTTTTCGTTTCGTTGCTTTATGAAGTTAATTTAGAACAATGTTTGGAACACTTTTGAATGCGTTAAATAAATGAATCTCATTTTTGAAGTGATGAGAAGTTATTAAAAGTGAGGTGGAATGACCACTTAAGGCTATTCAGTGCCCGAGTCGATAATGTGGAAATGCCAACACACAGCCAAGCTGAAAGAATAAGGCTAATATTTTCATAAACGCCATAAGAACACATCAAATCAACATATTATTATAACACGTCATGATTCCTGATGTCATGATTCCTGAATCCTGAAATCACAATAATTTGTTTTTGTTGAGTATTTCTCAAATTTGTTGAATGAAAGGGTAATTTCACAGTATCTTTAAGCTTTACTCAAGCAAGCACTTGCTCTTTATTAACAATGACGCTGATCAGAGCCTTTGTGGGTAGGACTACAATTGAATGATATTAGAAAACAACCTTTTTATGGTTAACAACCAAGCCAATCAGGACCTTTGTGAGCAGGACAAAAGTTGGTAATGCTATTGAGCTGCTCCAGAGTCACACATATCAGGACATCTTAGACAAAGTAGCAACAGTCATCATTGTACTTACTAAATGCTCATGACTTATTAAGTCATTTTTGCCTTGCCTTAACTGTTTGTCTTATTGCTCCTCTCTCTTCCTGTCTTCCAGAGTCTGCAGCGCTCCTCTCAGGGACAGTTTTCTGCAGCCCTTCGCTGGTCAGGGGCCTGCCTGGCATCTCTCATCCATATCATTCCTCTTTTCATCCACCCATCCTTCCCTCTGTCATGAAAGGCCTGTCCAGTAGTCGGAGTCACCATCACGTGGTCTCCTATGAACCATCATACGATCCACTGGGTCACCATGTTGACCGCAAGCCATATTTGATCAGTCAGAATGACATGCCTTTGCCCATTCCCATGCCACATCCAGCTGAGCTGCCCTACTACAATTCTCAGCGTACCTCATACCCCTCTGACAGCAACAGCATCGTCCCATATGGAACCTTCCCAAGGAGGTGCCACTCCACCTCCTCATCTCACCATCCTGAGGTAAAGGATGAGTGTATGGCCATGGTACCATATGTAGGAGGAGGAGGGGGAGGAGGAGGAGGAGGAGGAGGCTATGGAGGTAAAACACCCACCCGGGTACCAGCAAACTTTGCGGACCCGTTTGAGCGTCAGCTGTCATTTTCCAGAGATGGCTATCACACACTGCAGTACAAACGAGGAGTGCTGGCCCACAGTGGGGGGATGGGGGCCAACAACAACAACAATGACAGCCCAGGGAGAATTCGCCACCTTGTCCACTCAGTCCAGAAACTCTTTACCAAGTCACATTCATTGGAGGGGCCACACCATACACAGTCCTCCAAGGGGGCCAATAATGGAAGCATTAATGGTAGTGGTGGTGGGGGTGGTGGTGGAGGAGGTGGTGGTGGTGGTTCAAGGGCCAGCCCAGAAGGTGAAACTCCACCAGTGGGAGTTCGCCACAGGAAGCGCAGCAAGAGCCGTGAGCGCTGTCGATCAGCAGAGCCCAAGCATCGAAGCCACCACCACCACCACCAGCTTCACGGCTCAGCATCTGCTCCGGGCTCTGGATATTGGAGCTCAGATGACAACCTGGAACGGGAGCTGTGTCTCTACCACCCTCACCACCATCAACCCCCACCCTCACCCTCACCCTCCATTTCCCCCTCGCCCATCGCCATGACAATGGGCCGGTATCCTGGCAACAACCCCGACAAGTTCCCCCAGACTCCCCTCCCTAGTCTCTCCTCCTCGCAGTCCCAGCAGTACTTCATGATGGACCCTTACAGCACACTCAGCGAGCACACACACACCCATGCACACCATGGCCACACACACCACCATTCCGCACTCAAAGCCTCCCGGAGCAACAACGATGTGAAGTATGCAGTGTCGTCGGCATGTGTGCCAGTTAGTGGTAGCAGCAATAACAGCGGTGGCGGTATCGGTGGAGGAAGTGGCCCCTTGCTGCCCCTGGGTCTTGTGGACGGGCCCCTTGTGAAGAAAGGGGCATGGTCGTCAAGCCTAACGGTGAGCAGGGCCCGAGAGGTCTACACCAACAACAGCAGCCACAACCAGCTACGAGCCAGCGCAGGATCCGGTAACCTAAACCTAGATAGAGCTCTAGTCAAATCTAAGGGCAGTCAGCAGCAGGAGCGCTCTTGCCATTTCTTACAGGTAAATAATTCCTCCCCACTCACATCCAATACGAATCGATTCACCCTTCTCCCCTCTGTTGCCTCCCTTTTCTCCACAACTTACTTTCCTCACCAATGTTTCCTCTACATCAGTGATGTCCAGTCTTGAGAAACATCAAGGTTTTCAGTCTTACTAAACACTACACTTTATGACTTTGCTGAAGAAGTGCTGGAGGATTCAACCACGAGTTCCAGGACTTGTCCTGGCATATTCACTTTATTTGATTCACATTGGTCAAGAAGTACTAGTTTAGTGGAAATGACCTGTCAAAGTTTTAGGATATCCCCAAGCCAAAATCATTGCAGGGCACTGGACGTTAACTCCTTTGAAAATTCCCAGAATAATCCACAATATACCGTGAGAATCATTGCCCGCTATTGTCACAATTATGGGGAAAGATTCTCATGGTTACAACTTGAGCAACTTGTTAGTATCACTATACGTGTCTGCCCACTAAATAAGTAACATAGTAAATCTAATATTCACAGCACACATGGACACTAACTCGCTCTTCTAGTTCGTGGGAACACATGATAAACACAGAGAGAAGATAAAATGTGATGCATAGTTGAATGTAGGATACTGCCATGCAAATTTAACATAATATGATGAATAGACAGAACCTACAGTGTGTGAAGATTAGCAGGAAGAGTTTGTGGTCCTTTAATGGTGCCTTAAATGTAGGTTAACTGATTAATTGTTTGAATAATAAGTTTTCAGTCGCATTATGAGTTTTGCGTGAACCCTGAAGTTACATCTCTACAACAGATGATTCTCTACTTAAATTTGGACTCATTTATATTATTAAATGTCATCAAACATGACATGACAGGGAAGGGGATAAGTCTGCAATGTGAAACCTTTGCAACTGAGTGTGCGAGATTTGAACTTATATCGGAGTGATTCTCCTCATGCCTCCATGTTTGCTAAAAGCTAACAGCATTGTCTCCTGCACGATAGTCGTTAAGATGGCTGTCTATTTATGATGAAAGTTTTGCAGGGGTGGGGGATAAGGTCAAGGCTGCTAAGGGCATGCATTTTATGCTTCTCTACATCAGCAATTTACAACTTTACAAGACAGCCCTGCTAGGGATCAATGGATCTGCATCACAGTTTCGTGGGCTGCTCTGTGTCATAGTCCATGGTCTTTCGTTCCCTGTATTACTTTAGTGTTTGGTTGGAATGACAACTGCAGATTTAAATGGCTAGAAACCATGACTGGATATCACTGACTAAGGCTGGGGACACAATAGAGCTGATAAGGTTTAGCATGATTCAATATTCAGACATCAGACAGACAGCTTTGAGTCCTTATGATGATAGGACCCTGTAGATGATATAAATATACTGTACATTTTGTTTTATTATCAAACCCTTCTGTGTCTATGACCAGGATCATGGACTCTCAATGGATCCCTGGATCATTAAAATGTTCCATTAAATTGATTTAAATAATGAAATTTCATTTCAAAGGATCTTGTACAGATCACATGTTATATCAGTTAGAAATAGGGCTGTAACTAAAAATTATTTTCATTAAAGATAATAATTTGGTCTATAAAACCACACCCAAACACATTTCCTGAAGCCCAAGGTGATGTCAGCAAATTGCTTCTTTTTTTCCACCAGTAGTCCAAAACCCAAAGAAATTCAATGTACAATTGACTTTACAATTTACAATTCATTCCAAAGCTGGAAACAGACAATGTATGTCATTTTTGCTAAAACGTATTACTTATGATTAATAAACTATCAAAAAGACTAATCAATGAATCAACCAATTGTTTCAGAATGCTTCATTTGGCATATTGTTGGAAGACACAAGAAAATACAGCTATGTGGAAGCTACAATTTATAGCTAATTTCATGTGTCTTGTTAAAAGAGTAATCAAACCCAAAACTGTGTGAAGCTTCAGGTCTAATGTTGAAAAGCTCTTCCTCTACTTGAAATCAGTCAAGTGTCAAGCACAAGTGCATGGAGAACAGTTAAGTTGATTTGAGGCATTAGCAGTAGTTGATATTTTTTTGTTTTTTAAGTAACCTGCTTGCTAGTTAGCTAGCTATAATTTGTAAGAGAACTTCCTTTATGGAGTCACACCTGCAGATTTGTGGATGCTTCATCATATAACAGGGTTGTAAAATGAGATCTTAAAATTCATACCGCTTGTCTAATGTCCTGATCAACAGGACCACACCTGCCACCAAAGTCCAGTCATGAGCAGATAATCAATTTAGTGTTTTACCAGCAGGCATGATGTTTCAAACATAATGGGGTTTGGTTACTTTTGCACATAATAACCAGACTGAAAACACTAAACATTGGTGTTAAACAATGCAATTGTGCAATACAAAAAATCTCCAAGCATCGCAGAATTGCCTTCTAATCACTGCTAATTTACACTCCACGCTAGTCTAACGTTAATAGATTAACTCTCCAGTATGTGTACCGTGTGATATAAAAATGTTGTAGTGTCCACAGCCTTAGAGGGAACATTGCTCCGACCACCAGTCTATTATTCTGATTTCCCAAAAACCCCACTGCCACCTCCTCCTCTCCTACTGCTTTTCCTCCACTCACCTAACTAACCCCCCCGCTCCTTATCCACTCAACCCCCTGCCACCCACCAACCCACCTCCACCTCCTTTACTTCCTCTTGGTTTGGAGAGCTTCCCTCTTCCTTTTCCTCTTCCTCCTCTTTCCTCCTTTTGAGTTGAAGAGAGAAGTAAGTGCAGAGCCAGTAGTAGCCTTACTCTCTGAATGCTAGGTAATGACATGAACTCATGAAGAATGACATCCTTCCTGTTTGTAGACATTTTTAATTTAGTAGTGTTTCCCTTCTTGCCTTTCTACGAGTTATCTTGCCTTTCCTCACTTTTTTGTCTTGATGGCTTGTTGCTGTGCTGTGCTGTTCTTTGAAGTGTTGTGGTGAGCTAAGTGTTGGGGAGGTGTTTAACTGCATCTAGGATGTAGACAAAAATTATAGAACATTATATGTGGCAGTTACCCTGAAATTGGTTTGTTTTATCCATTTATGCTAAGCTTATTAGCCTTTCCTTTCCTTGAGGAACCCTAATTGTGTTGTTTAATTTGAATAAACTTCCACATTAAGTAAGCTGGTAATGGTGATTACATGCCTTCCAACAAAATGATTAAGGTCCATGTCCGTGGCTCTGCATGTGTAAAGGTCCCCTGTGGAGTTTTTGACCTCTAGTAGTGCTATGGAGCTTTTTTGCAATGAGTGGGTTCCTGTGTTGTTTATCTTTTACACATGCTTGTGGGCGATCTCACTCTACTCCACTGATCAAAAGATGGCGATCACACACCAATATAGAGTATGCAGCAACACGCCAACAACAGGTACCCCCAGGATTCTCCAAGTTAAATTTAAGACTTTTTAAGACCTTTTTAATACCATCTAGGATGAAATTTAAAGCCAACTTCACTACCGTATAATGGAAAATCTGGATGAATTTTAAGCCAAAGAAAATTATTATTTACGAAGTTGCCTGAATTTAATAAAATAAGTTTTGATAATACTCACATTTAATACACAATAGCTTTTTGGGGTATGTTTGTACTCTTATAACATAAAATGAATCAAGGACATCACTTTGTGTTGAAAAGTGGTGGGGACAATACACTTAGCTCACAAGCTCGATTCACAATATTGGGTTCACGAGAACAAGACAAGAAGATATTTTAACACTATTTTGATGAAATATTCAATGTTTAAATAAATAAATGGGGGATCTTGGGCTCCTCCCCTAGAAAATTTTGAACATTAAACACTTAATTTCCTGTATCCTGGAGACTTTTTCTGCACCAATTTATGGTAGAATTGTCTTTATTTATATAAAGCAAAACATAAAATTCAGGTGACAATTCAAACAGAACCCTTCTCAAAGCATTTTCTTTTGTTTTTTTAACATTTCTTGTTGCAAGAAATTTTCCATAACATATTTAACAAATGCTTAAAAAATACAATATAAACAAGAACTCTTATGGTGTGAAACCAAAAATACAAAATAAATTGTGCAGTTTGAATTGTAATAAATAGTTACACCTTGGCTAGATGAGGTAATGTAATGTAATATAGCATAATATGCCTACGCCAATTGCTTCAGTTATTATTCATCCTGTTCTGTTTTTGCATCTAAAGGCTGTTTTGAAATACAGTAGTATTGCCTTGAAAGCAGCAGGGATAAGGAGTTGGGCTCCGGTTTGATTTTTCCTCTTCCCGGGTATCGGCGCATCTGGATGATGTAAGTTTAATGTGCGTTAGCATGTAGATGTTTCCAATCACATAAGGTTACCCTGAAATAGTGGCGCAACGCTGACATGGTCCTTGTTTCATGCACAACTTTCTCTCCGCTGTTGTTGTAACGTTCACTGACCAGTAACCTGCAGCGGGTCTTCCAACTCTGCTGTTTCATTCGCACTCGCCATAGTGTGACTGACTCGCACTCCGATCCGTTTGTTGTGCTAATCTCAGCGCCATTTCCCTTAGACTCCTAACCTAACTTGTCTGCATCTCTGGCCTTCTGAACTTCAGACACTTGCCCATTCTGAGTCGACCAGCGAACGTTAGCTTGTAGCATGTCAGAGACGTTTCGTTTTCTTTCCCAACAACTGACTGATTCCCACCAGAGCTTGGATGCCAGAGCTTGTGCAGCGCAAACACTCCACAGTTCAGAGCGTAAAGTTAATGAAATTTAATACTTTTAAGGCCTTATTATTAGAATATGAAATTTAAGACTTTCTTAATACTTTTAAGACGCCGCGGGCACCCTGCAACAATCACAGGTAGTAAGAAGACTGCAGCAAGTAAACGTGATGTAAGAAATTCTAGATTTAAAATTCTAAAAAATAAAAAGCTTTGCAAATGTTTTATGAGGAATGAAATGCATTCAGTACCTTTTTTAGACTGCAACAAAACACTGCATATTTGTGAGTAATAGTGAGTGTAAACATAACTTTT